AATGAGGGAGATTTAATCTGAGCAAATCAAAACCAGCTTCCAGAAAAACGATGTGATTTAAAATTGTTTTCATAATCATGCAATGGCTTAAATTATCTTTCTTAATGAGTCTTTTTAATATAACACTGGAAAACAGTTTCAACCTGATTGTGTTGGTCTTTTTGAAGGGCATTAGGACTTTTTAGTCTGATAGACAGTCTGTGGCCTCCAGCAGTGCCTGTAAAAGTTCCTGGACAAAGTCAAGACTCTGAAATGGTAAGTCTTGTTACAGAAATGAATTTTTCACTCACAACTTCTATTTCTGTTGGTAGTGTAATCATGTTGACTTTGGGAATTGGATTCTCTCCCTCTCTTTAGCTCCTGAGTTTTGTTTTACTGGTTCTGGCAACCTCCAAGGCAAACGTGAAGCCCTCTGGACCAGCAGCCTCTTTCCAAAGTGGTGCAGTTGACCCTTTATTAATCCTCTAGAGCTAGAATAGTAGGATGTCCAGACAAATTAGTCCTCTTCTCTCCTTGCAGGAAGAAAGTAATATTAGACAGAATGAAGCCAGCTGAGAAATCTACATACAAGGATATTAACTCATTCTTCTGAAGCACTTTGCAGCCTTAGATTCAAAAGCACGTTTCTGAACATTAACTTCTGTGAAGACTGGCTGACTGCTGGAATTGGGTCTCTTATTAGTTAGGATGACTTTGGCTGGTACTCATTCCACGGAGCATGATGACGTGCATTCTAGTGCTGCAGGCTTTTGGCTGAGTGAAGTTTTTTTTCAGTTGAGATAAATTTTTCTTGATACAAACAGTGTAGTTTTATGTAGAGTTTTATGGAAGCACTTTTACCAGCACACTGATAATGTTCTTGGGAAGACATCTGTGGAACTGATTTCTTAGGAGGCACATTTACATTCAAATACTGTCTTTAGTGCTATAAGAGGCAAATTTGGATATCAGCTTATTTTGCCTTTTTTTTTTCCTCATACAATTTGTTTTTTAATGGGTGGACAACTGTTGTTAATAGGTTCGTATTTCTTTTATTAAATGAAATAACTTTATTAACAACAAGCATTGCTAGAAGAATATTTTACCATATCCACAATAAAAAATATTTTCTTGCATTGTCTTTTTTTCTGAGAAGGAGCCTTTCTAGCTTGGGACCTCTTCAAGTGGTGATTGATAAAGTTGTTACGTCATGGTACTTTTTAAGGGGGAAAGAAAAATCTGGTATAACACAAAGAGAACAGTTCTTGTAGCTGTTGTGTTCCTGTTCTTCATTATCTCCTTGTGCTGTCCTGGATTTAATTTGGCAGCTTTAAAAGTCTGGCAGCTGTTTACTATCACAGAAACCCACCCACATGCAGAAGTCCCCAAATCTTGGAAAACTTATGGCTATTAAAAAAAAAATAAATAAATAACCAGGGCACTTGTACCACGTACTAATAAAAAAAATGCAAAACCAACAAGCACCTTGAAATAGTCGCAGTGTTTGCCAAGTGTGCCAAATCATGAGATGTTTTTGTGGTGAGGATCCATGTCAGATTATGGAAAGAATGATACACACAAGCTGATTTCACTTACTACTTGTGAATTTAGGTTTATTAACTCAACTTCTACTTCAGAGAGTCATTGTTATTAACCATATAATTTTGTTTCTCCATCCGTCTTAAAATGTAAATGATGTGGTTTTTGCTTTGGCTGTTATAAAACCCAACTGGGCAAATTAAAGTGCCTTTTTTAAGGTCACGTTTCTTTTCCTTGCTTTTTAATAGACAACAACAAATCTTCCTCCTCCCAGCTTCTGTTACATCCTTACTGTTCAGTCTGGTGAGATACATGTGGAAGTGGATGAAGAAGAACAGATTTCTGATTTGTACCAGCCACCAGCTGTTCGTGGTCTAAAGGAAATTCTTCAGGTAATCTGCTTTACAAGTCAGATGACAAATACTTTGTACCACTGGATTTCTGGTATCATGTTTGTCTCATTCCCTGTTTTTGTGCTATTTTCAGATGGATGGTTGTAACGAACGTTGTAGCTTTTGGGCTCAAGTGGTGTATCTAAGGCAGCAGGTAATCTTTCCACTTAGCAATGAATTTAACATAAAATCAACATGTTTATGGGAAGAAGCCAACACTTATATGGAAAAAAACAAAACCTTCCTGGATTTTCCTCAAGAGTAGTACAAGCAGAATTGTCACTAGATCTAAAATGCTTGTGAATGGGTAAAATGAACTGCATCTTCCATTTCAAAGCCATCCAGTCTAGGAAGTGAATGATCCCTGAATAAATTGATATCTAACCAGAGAAAGTATTGCACCTTTGTAAGGGACCTTGTGGGGGGTTGGTTGAGACTTGAGTTACAGCTAATTGCTATCCTTAGATATGTAACAAAAAGTTCCCAGTCAGCTGAGTGTCTGGGGACAGAATTTAACAGATGATAGTTATATAAAAATACAGTTTTGCTCTTTGCATGCAAGTGTGTGGACTATTTTTGTTGACTTCAATAGAAGCCCCTCAGGCAAATTTGGCTTCTATGGGGCAGTTAGTAGAAAGGAAGAATTCTTAGGTAAATACATCTGCCATCCATGCTATGTTGGAAAGCTTATAATTATGTTTTATTTATTTGTTTCTGAATTACGCTGTGATTTTCTTTCAAAATGTTGCTAACTTCCTCAGTAGTTAGAGGAATTTTTTGTTGCTGATTTTATTTTTTTCCCCTGGTGACTGGATCCTCCATACAGCCAGCACTGAATTCTGATGGAGAATAATTTGCAATTGTCCATCAGCTCCACAAGAAACAAAGTGTGAATCAAAGCATATGAACCAAAGACAAAGAAATTCCAGAACGGCCAGCAAAATAGCTGGAGATGCTTCCCACCAGTGTGAGACATAAATTTAATTTAGGTCCTGCCCTTTTGCTTCAAAAGCCAATGAGTTATTATTTGATTTTTAGGCAGGGAGTAGTTTTTAACTCCTAAGATGAGGGATATCTCTTGTGTTTTCTCCACACTAAGTGAGAATTTAACAGAGCATTTGCTAGCTTGATGGGATCTTTGGGGTGCTAACAGAAAGACAGACACATACACACATAAACTTCTATTTCCAAAAAAACTGTTCTATTAAACAAAATAAAATTCCAGACTGGTGCTATCCTAGCCAAAAGCTTTTGTATTCAGGTATGTCTGCATTTGAGTTGCTGGGGGTCATCAATAATCCTGTGTAGAAGCACTTCCTCATTAAATTAGAGAAAAGATAAAGCATGCAGGAAGAGATGTGATTTTGAAGAATGGAAGTTTGTCTAGAAATAAAAAAAAGGTCCATGATTTCTTCTTGCTACTAGGAGGTTTATTAGCTGAGTTTTTTATGATTATTCACTTACTGAACTGTAAGCACTAAATTTTCATAAATCAGCAGTACGGGTGCTCGTAAATTTTTTGAAAGTAATGTTGGAAAAGCAGTAGAAGGTATTCTTCTGCACAGCTTGTGGATAACTGCTGGATGACACTTCTGGATAGCAAAATGATCGAGTTGTAGTAAGGGAGGAAGGGACTGTGCTGGTTTGTTCTGCAGATTTAGTATTGTTATTAGATAATCTGGTACATGAGCTTACTCAAAGCTACTTTTAAAAATAGGATTTATTCTGTGTAGTTACAGTGTTCTGTGACTCTTCATTTGTGTGGAAGAGGGGTGGACTTATGCTTTTATTATTGCTCAGACTCTGCACTGTGGTACAGAAGGAATATGAGGAAATGTATTCCATCTGGGGTTAAGGAGCTGTCCTTCCTTATAACTCAATCCTGCTGCTCTTTGTCTGTTGTGTCCTCTCTGTTCAGAACAAATTGTCACACATAGCAAGATGATGATTTTATACTAACTTGTGATTTTTGCTGTTGTTATTATTTACTTTTTGGAGGATTCTTCTGAAAGCCAGCTTTGAATGTGTTAGTAATTCTCACATGACAGCTGTAAAAAACCTTTCTTTGAAGCCATCCTAAATGCTGTCTGCACAGAAGAGGTACTCAAACGTATGTAGTTACTAGGCAAAGAAACAACATCACTGCAGCAGGCAGCATCTATTGTATTAAGGCATAACCATAATACCTGAGTTACACATTTTCCCAGTCCTCATTTCCAATTACTGCATTTGTTCTAAGAGCTGCTAGCATGAACAGAAAGCTAATTTTAGTGTGGTTAATGATTTCAGGGTTCGAATTCAACCCAGGACACAAAGTTGGGGTTCTCACTGTGTTACCTTATGCTAGAGATATACAACTTGGAAAATAAAGTATTTATGTGATATGTGTCTCTCTCCAATTATTGTAGTATTTAATTTTAATTTAAATGTTTTAAGGGTGATTTTTTAATTGGCAGACTATTTTTAAAATAGTAACAAAAACTTTTTAAACGAAAGTAATTTAATCTTTGTTAAATATTTCAAAATATCAGAATCTTAAAATTTACAAGTTGTTTGGACTGGTAAATGTGAAATATGCTTTGTTATTAAACCCATTTTTTCTAAAACATGGGAAAGTTCACAGACACAAATAGATCTTATAAAAGCTGTGTTTAAAAACAAAAAAGCATGAATCTTCAAATTGTAACCCATCTGATTTTCTTAGAGCACTGGGAGAAGCACTGATGTGTATGTAATTCCTATCTAGTCTGTCTTGTTCATCACACCAGTGTTAGAAATTAAAAAAACCCAACACATTGATTTTGTGATAATTATTTTCAGATATGAATGCTGAGGTGAGATCTAGGTATTTTGGCTGTGACATCAGTAATTGTGATGTACCTTAATTTAGTCACACCACAGTATTTTCATACCTGTCTTAGAAAAATTACATCATCATTATGGAATCCTGTGTCTCTTATGAGTTATCTGCTTTCCTATTTCTATGCACCATTCAAATATTTAGAGATGTTTGTTCAACAGAAAGAAAAGCCTCCAGCTTTGTAACTTGCAGTAGGTATTAGCCAAGGACTAGTTCTCTTGGGAATCAGGTAATGGAAACAGTACATGGAAAATTTGCTCACACAGGAATAATAGTAGTAGTACATCAGTAATTCTTTTTTTTTTTTTAAGGCAAAAATTATATAAGTCTTTGTTAATAAAAGCATCCAATTAACGCTCATATATAGAATTTAACTATATAGTATATATAACAAATACTATTTTTAAAATTAAGCATATTTTCAAATCTCTACTGCAGTCCAAGTGAGTTATGATGAAGTGTGGTAGCTGATAGAGGTGAAGCCAAGATTCCAGTGAATCAACCTCAGAAAGTTAATTTAAGGCAGAGATGTTTGAATCTGCAGTACAGAATATTGAAAAATTCCAACAAAGCTTTGATTCATTATCCTGTACGAGCCCTATATGTAATAATTTATGTCAATTTTATTAGTTACTTAAATATGAGGATGTTATTTTAGTCTTTCCTTCTACTAATGTTAACAACTGCATTCCAGTTTGGGGGTTTTGTTTGTTTTTGTTTTAATCATAGACAAAACACAGTGTTCCTATAAATCAAAGAGAAGTTTGGTTGTTTGTGACTGACTCCACACTGCAAAATGTGATTCATGGGACTCCAAAGGTTGTTCCTGTGTCGGTGGCTGCATCGTGTGTTCTCAGCACAGAAATCACAGGAGCCCTCAGTGCTGCCTCACGACTTGTCTTCTTCAAGGATGCACTGTGGGGAGATGGTAAGCTTTACGTGGCTCTGAGGCAGCTGGGATCAAACAACTATTACCCTCATCTCTGACACTCCAATGCATGACCTGCAGAGGCTTTCATTCTCAGATGGAGATGAGACATTGCATGTTTGGGGAGAAATTTGAAAGAGGTTGTAATAGGAGCTTTCCTATAAGTTTTTTTAATATTATTTTTGGCTTGAGCTCCAAAGTAAAGGAGAAATTCAGTGATCTTCCTGTATGTTCACCAATATTTCTGTCAGTCTTCCCTGATGGTGGTTGAATCTAATGGCCAGTGTCAATCAGATTTACTAGCTGACAGCAGACTCAAAGACTCACAGCTGGACGAAATGGTCATTGTAGGTCCCTTCCAAATAAAATATTCTATCTATTGAAAAAATTGGTTTTATTTGGATTTTTATGCTTGAACAAATTTGTTTTATTGAAGTTACTACCTCTAAAAGGAGGAAGAGGCTGAATCTGGAGACTTGTATGTCCCTGGACACAGAACTTTTACACATTCTTCTGTATCATCTTAGCTGTGAGCCTTCACCACCATACAGATCATCTAAGGATGGTAGTTCATTTTTAGTCGCTGGTTTTTGAGGTTCAGATGTGGTTCTGCATGGTGCCTGCATGGGTAGTTCTCATCTCACACCTTCAGTCACCTCCAAAATGGGAGTGGACTGGAAGTGAAGTGTCTTGAAGCAAAAGTGCCTGCTTTGGAGACTAAAGCACTGCATGCGCCTACTCTTTGTGACCTGTGAAGCAAAGGCAGACCACCTGAAGGGATGCCCAAGCTTATCACCAGGGATAGGCAGTGCCGTTGTGTTTGCAGGGAGCATGGTGTGAGGCAGAGCAGCAGTGGACTCTTCTGCCATGTTTGACTTTTTAAAACATCTCTTTTCCTCTTGTGTTGCCAAAGGTAACAAGAGCATGATGCAGGTATCACTGAGAGCAAAATATTTTGTCATGAAAACCTGATGGAGTCCATCCATCTGTTGAGTAGCTGGCAGAGATCATCGTCTTTGCTGGCCATGACAATTAACGTGGTCACCTTTTTCCTTGTTGCCATACTGAGTTGCAATGTCTCTGTTGGCAGGTAGGATTATTTGTGTTGAACGTACTGTTCTCCTGTTACAAAAGCCTCTTTTGTGCTCGGCTGCTGGTGCTGACCTCAGTGAGCTGACTGGCCCTGTCAGACTCGACGAGCTGGATTCTACAACACAGGCCAACTCCATTTGTGCTGTGAGAGGTTTGTATGGCCCTTCCTGAAATGAACACGGCTAATTACTTATGCTCACTTTAATCTTTTAGGTCTTCACTTTGATTTCTTGCACAAACAGCATGGAGGGCTAAGAAAGCATGGTATTGCTGTGGGTCAGTAGGATATTGAAATTTTTATACTTCTTTGTGGGCTCTGTTTGCCTTTTGCTGGCCAGCTCTGCTCCCACTCACTCATACCCCAGAATAAATGTTTGATGCACAATCTGTTTTATTATTTTCCTCCCTTCACTGTCTTCTTTCAGGAGCCTTCTGTTCACACCCGTCTTGTTGAAGTTGGCAACAGTGAGGTATACTAGTATTTTTTAGGCAGATGGATGAGATTCGTTAGCCAGATCCTGAGTGGTAGGGGTTAGTGTCTGATTTCCCTGGAGCTTTGCTGCAGTGGGGCAATTTAATATTTCACCATAGTCATCGAGCGTAACCTGGCCAATATTTGCTCACCAGCCACTTTGGATCACTGCTTTGTCTAATATTTCAGTCCCACCACTAACCATGCAGAAACATTTCTTACAATGTATTTTCTAACGTTTCCTAATCATGCAGAAACATTTCCTACTGGGTATTTTCTAATGCTTTGTCCAGCCAGCGTCTTAAACCTCCCAGTTGTGGAGTGCCTATGGGGAAAAGTCCTTAAAAGTCCAATAACTCATGGCTTTTAAAGACAGTTTCCCTTCTTTCTTTAACTCTTAGGGTTCCAGAAGTCCTTGATACTGTTTCACATTTAAACTTTCCAAGTACTCACTGGAGCTTTTGAAATTAGCTTTGTAATCATTATTTACTCTTGTTTTAAATGAATCCTTCCAGCTCTAATGTGGTGCACTGAACACACAGTCTGAAACCACACAAAGCTGTTCTAAACATGCCTTCTCTGATGGCACAGCCACCAGGTAGCAGTGCCTCTCTGACTAATATATGAGCCCTTTGCAGTGACAAATCTTGGAACTCTGGCACTGTGAAATGAAACCCAAGCACAACTAGAGGCACTTCACTCAAAGCCTTGCACGTGTGCATCTTGCGTTTATAATGTGAGCTACTTGAAAAATATTTCCATCACTGGGTGTGAAATATTTCTTGGCTTTTCTTTTTTTTTTTTTTTATAAACCTCTCCGATAATTGCACAAAGAACTGTCGCTTCTCCACTTCTAATTTTCTAATGAAGAGTAACTAAGTATGGAAGACAGAGCATGAGAAGTCTCTGTCTTCTCCTGGCCCATTGACTATGAGGTAGGAGAGAGCAAACATTTCTCTGTCCCTTCTTTTTCTAGTAGAAAGAAAATACTCCTTTGTGATTGTTGTATAACCAAGTGCCTACTTTACACACATGGGAGGTGTCATGCTTTCCCTGTTCTATATTACAGATGGAAGAATAACACAAGAGAAATTAATCCCACAACCTTGTCTTGCTTAATCTGAAATTTATCCAGGGTAGCTGTTACCAGTGTGTTCCCACACCTTGGTACCAACACAGAATATAAAATATCTTCTTGATGCATAGGCTAATGTTATATATATAGATGATGACTCTGACTTTTATATGCATAACTAAAATTATTTAATAGCATTTGAGATATATATCTGGTATTTTTGACTTTGGTTAGTTACAACCTACATCTTTTGTACTGAAGAGGTGAAACGAATAGCATTAAGCCTATTTTATTGGTGGGAGAATATGTATTTGGTGGAGTAACCCATGAAGGAAAATGTATCATCCGTAAAATTCACTCCTTGTCTCTGTCTCTTTACTCAAGAGAATTGTAAATCTGGCTTTCAGTGAGAAGCAGTATTATTTTGTTCATTCTTTTTCTTTGTGTCCTCCTTTCACTTCCTGTACTTTTGGTCACCTGTGTATGCTGTATGTGGGGCTCCTCTCACCCAGCACTCAGAAAGGCTGTAGCAGCTTTAACCCTTCTTGAAGTAGTGCTCCTTCTTGCTCCTTGGCAGTCATGGCTGCTTCCCTTAGGGGTTTAGCAGGTTCAACCTTCCCTAGAAAAACTTCCTTTTAGCCAGTGAAAAAGGCAGAGGGTCATTCAAGTCCCCATCAACAGCAGGTCACAGTGTCAGAGCTTCCAGGAGTGGTGGGACTGGGGAGAAGTACAGGTCATGCTGCCTGACGAATTCTAGGTAGGGTAGTCATTTTTTGGAAGGTGTATAAAAAGGATGTTAGGTTGGCAGGAACCTGTGAAGTTCCTCCAGTCCTAACTCCTGCTCAAAGGTGAGACCTGAGCTAGCTGGTACAAGGCTGTAGCTGGCCCAGCTGTAAGAGGGCAGTGCTGCAGTCCAGCAGAAGTCTGTCAGCAGTCCTTCTTCCAGAGAGGTCCAGTTGGATCAGCACTGGAAGGAGTGTGGTGCTGTTCAGCAGAGGAATGGAAACTGGAAGGTTTATTCCTCTAGTTTAAAGATGAGTGTATGGCTCTCACCTGTGAGCTCAGGGTTAATAGATTTATTTTCTTATCATTATGCGTGGCGAAGTGATTTCCAGCCTCTCTTTGCTGTATAGCAGCAGTCAGGATGACTTAAATGTTGGCAGTTCGTGCTGCACAGAACTGTTTTTCCTCTCAACCATGCTTATGAGCAAATTCTTGTTAGTCCATACCACATGTTATGTGGGAATATTACTTGATTAATTATATTTGCCTAGTATATGACTCACCACAAGTAATTGAATTTTGACATTGGATATTTTCATACCCAACACCCTTACTCAGGGGTGGGGTTTTTTCAGTTTCCCTCTTACCAGTGTGATGGGGTCAATCAGCTTACCTAGGTTTCTCCTTTTGATTGAACTTTTCCCCTTCCTGTCCATTAATCAAGGGAACTGATTGGAAAAAAAAAAATATATCCACATTCATTTTTTGAACACTTCAACCAGAGTGTTACTTTTAATCCTTGGCCCTTCCTTGCATTCCTCACCAGGGACCTGTTTTTCCAAGTGTTGTCCTCTTGTCAGTCTCTTCTTAATGATGTCAGCCACAACCCAGGAAAGAAGACTAGAGGTCAAAATAGAATTTTTGCTTTTGGATTTCATTTAAAAGAAAGATCTTGGGAAGATATCCAAAAGGTTTGTGAACGTCAAGCAAAATCTAGAGTCTTGACAAAGATGTGGAGGAGTTCAGCAGCTTAAATTTGAGAGGTCCCTCTACATGCAGGACAGGACTGTCTCTAGATTATTAGATCTGTTGCTGCCTTTTGTTGATTTTATTCTGACTTCAGTGATCTCTGGTGGTTTTCTGGAGGGAACTCTATGTTGTCATCAAAATAAACCTCTCCACTAGACATGATCTCGTCTGGATGATGCTGATTCATTTTCTTCACATGCACTTGTCTTACTTGCACACTGGCATCCTGCACACAGCTGGAGGGAAGTTAAAAGGCCTGGAGAGAAACAGGCCTGTTAGAAATGGGGATTTGCTTTGGTCTGTTTTTTTTTAAATTATTTTTTAATGAAAAGTGAAACATATTCAGCAGATGAATCAGTAGCTTTTCTTTTCCACAAGCAAGGGAAATGTGCCCATGCTGTGGCAGAAAACATCCTACCTTGTAGTAGCAAGTGCTGATGGAAACTCTCAGTTTATCACAAAAAAATGAAGAATCTAAATAATTACTGTAACAGTCCAAGGGGTTAATTCCATGTCCATGGCTAAGTCCATGTTGTTTTGTTATATGCACAGAAATCGGGTCATGAGTGTTGTATCTGAGAAGTGTTTTTCTGGATCTTCAGACTTGCTGTCCTTGGAATTCCCAAAGACAATTATAGGCTTGTTGTTTTATGTGTAGCTCCCTCCTTCCTGTCATTCCTTGTCCCAGAAGAACCAGGAAGCAAGGAATCGATGCCCTGTTAGAGACCAGACAGTGTAAATGCTCCTTAGTCTCCAAGGGTTTCCTTTATTGAATACGGTGTAAAACTGTGAGATTCTTGCTCAATGGGAGCTGGAAGTTCTAGTCTACACATCTGTTGTACCAGTGAAGATTTATTTTAGCGTAATTTTATTCTTATAGGTGATCTTGTTTGTAAGCTTCAAAATCCTTAGAAGCATTTTCTCCATAACTAATGCTCATCATTTCAGTGTATCATTACCATAAAACATAATACACTCTTTATTTGCTTCTTATAAAATTCTGATTATATTTTTTTCTTGCCAAAACTAGCAAGGCCCTTTGTATTAGTCCAAAGTATCTTTGGCATTCCCTTCTTAGGCACACACTTAAATCTGTGGGCCGAATCTAATCTCTGTTAAATCTGTATAAATGAAAAATAACTCCATTGTTAATGGAACTTAACCTGCATCATTGTTTTTGAAAGGGATTGAGTCTTTTCATTGGTTTGTGTTTCCTACATAATACCAAGCTGTCTGACCTAGTGATTTTTATGGCTCTTTATTGCCAAGGAAACATCAGAGGATCAGTAAAACAAACAAACAAACAAAAACAAATCAGAAAAACAATCAAGCCCAAACCAAAAGAACCGAACCTGCTTGCAAAGTTAATTATCAGTTACCTGCCTTCAGGTATTTTTGGAGTGTAACAGACTTTGCCATACTGTCATCCCTTCTTGGAGGTCTGAAGGAGAAGGGGATTGAGATTGTTGGAAGAGGTGATGCTTTCTCCAACAAATGTTATTCTTAAGCTGAGGGTCTGAAAGGTTCAAAGCTGCTGTGAAGCCAGGAGTGGCTGTGTTTGCTGGCTTACCATTAGAATCTTGTAAGAATTTCATCTTCTGCAGGTACTGTTGCTGGAGTTAATGAGAGCACTGCTTTCTCCTGGCCTACATGCAACAGATGTGGCAATGGAAAGTTGGAGCAGTGTCCCCAGGACAGGTGAGAGTCAGCATGCTCCGGAGCACTCCAGGTGTTTTGCAGCTGTAGCCATAACAGCAGTAGGTGATGCAATGGTTCCTGCAGGCACAGGCTGCCCTTTGTTCCTTCCTAGAACTAAGACGTAGTATTTTTATTGCTGATGAACTGATAACAGCTGCAAGGTTAGATTAATTTATTAAGAAAGATACAAGTAGATATGAAATGATCTGAATTTGCAGTTATCGCTTTTTTTTTTAAATTCATCTTAAAGTATTGCTTATTAAAGATTTCATAGTCCACTGCATTATAATATTAGTGTTAATAAACATCCATTTCAATCCCAGGTCTGATTTTAAGCTCCTTTAAAAGTAGCTACTTGTGTTTGTCTACGCCACCTTGTTACCCTGTGTGCCACCACTTCACCTCATTTCTACATGGAACTGTGCTGTAATTTGTGTGGAAGAGTTGTGTCTCAGACCTATGAAGTTTGTAGCCTTTCTAGAAAAGATGTTGAATAATGCTGGGAGTATGACTGTCCCAAAAGTGAAGACTGATCCTACAGGACCTGTTACCACCTGAAAAGCTAAACCTGCGTCACTCTTGCACGCTGTTGGAAAGCCTCCCTGTCAGCTGCTTGGCTTGCTCCTGCAGAGCCTGGGCTACCTGATGGGATAAAAACAACAGGGGATAAGAGAGGCATCAGAGTGTAAAACTAAGGAAAGGAGGGTTCTTTCTACTGGGAAAGCTTACAAAAAGTGTAAGGAGAAGCGGGCTGGGTTTGATCCCGTTGGAATAGATCACATTTTCCTAAATCTGTGAAGCTTTACTGCCTGTGCTTTGTTACCTATAGCCTCTGGTGGAAAAAGCCTTTAAAAAAATCTGGAAAATTGTTGCCCTGTACTATACATCTATTGTATAATAGAAGTAATAGTAACATAAGTAATTAATGCGATATCATGCAAAAAAATAGTGTGCATATCACACAACAGTGTAGTTCAATAAAAAAAAAAACAAATCTCTACTGTGAAGGACACTTTTGCTTGATTTGGAGAACAATGTAGCATCAATATTTGTTTAAGCCATTATTCCAACAAGGACTTATAGCTGAGCTTAGTTTTATGCATGTGACTTAAGTGTGTGGTGAAAATGTTGAACGTTTGCTGAACAAGGGCCTAAATCAATAAGTCACTTGGGCCAAATCTATACTGCAAATTTTCTTTTGCCAAAACTTTTGGAATGTTATGAGATTAATATTTGCTTAAGTGGGTGACTATAAATAGCAACCTCCCCCAATGTTGCCATAACCTGTCAGAGGAAGATCCTTTTGCTGGAAGAGTTTAAGTCCTCCAAAAGTTACTCAGCCCTACTGACAGAGGAGCTCTATTTCCTGCTATCAACTGAATGCCCACCAGGGCTTTCCTACTGGAAGTCTACCAGTATTGTAGAGAATAAGCCAGCTGGTTTTCTGTGTGATTTGAGTTACAACTGATAGTTTTTCCATTTCTCTCTGTTTCTCCATCATCGTTTGCATTTTTCAGAGGGTTGCTGTATTGCAACCAGTGCTGTGAAGATGTCAGTTCACCGACTGTGAAAATGCAGCTGGAAGTCTTCTTGAGTTGTCCATCCAGATCTCAAAGTGTAGTAAGAGTAAAGGTATGGCATGGAATGAGCCTGGCTGTGTTGAGTAGAGTGATACATAGACCCACAGGTACTCTAAACCACACTTCTATAAACAGCTTTGTCAGGAGAAAAATTAAAAGATGTAAAAGTAGCTCATCATTTAATCTGATACTAAATTTATGTTTCATTGCACTAAGAACTCAGTTCCCTGATCTTAAATAATATAGTCATTAAGTTTACTGTGAGGTCTGCAAACTTTTATGATCCAGCTACAGAGCTCTCTTGGGCTGGGCCTTGGGGAACCTCAGTCTCCACAGCATAAAAGGAACATGTATGTTTTAAATCTTCTGAACATCTTCTGTGTCACCCCTCCTCTGCTTTCCTGGGCTGAGGAACAAAGCCATTCTATATTAAAGTGATAAAGCTTGTTCAGCGTGACTGTTTTAACCTGCAAAAAGATGTCTTTGCATACATAAGATTTTTGCCATGAACAAAACCCGTTAATTTTCTCCTTCCAGCTCTTACAAAGGACAATCTCTTCTCTCCTGACGTCGTGCACCAGTGAGGATGGGGTAGGTATGATGGATGCTGATGAAAGAAAATTAAACTATATAACATAGTGTAGAGGCAGAGTACAGGAGACATGAATCGGGTGAGGAGATGATCAAATCATAGAAATGAGAGGGATTCCTGGAGGTCATTGTCTGACCTGCCACTCACATCGGGCTATTGCCAGGTCATGGGCAGGTCAGCCAAGACTTTGGGAGAATCTTGAGACCCTCCAAGGATGGAGATTCTGCCTTTACAGGCAGCTCATTTCAGAAACTGCATTAGGAATGGTAGCAGGTTTCACTAGAAATAATGATTATTTTTCTCATGCCCAGCCAGGGATTTCAGTGAGCTGGTCCCTTTGCCAATCCCACCTTCCACCTGCTGATGCCCTGTCACATGACTCTTGTCAGGCTGACACCCTCCTTTTTAGGAGGAGGATGCCACAGATGGGACGTGTAGAGAGCTTTAGCTCAGCTGTGGATCTGCAGAACTGTCTGCAGGTAGCACCGTCCAGACGGTGAGAGCCATGATGGGCAGTGCTGGACTTTACTCCATTTTCTGGCTGAGGATCCAAAGACAGCAAAGATACAGTCCAACCATCATGCCTGTTTGGGATGGTCTTCTGAAAACCACAACTACTTTCTAATAGCACAGCCATGAGTCTACTGGCAGGCAGTCAGAGTAGAGAAATCTGCAGAAGGCATGTGAGATCACACTTTATAGTTGTGTGAATGAAGCACACGTAAGCCACGGGGCTCCGTGGGCCAAAGTACAGTTTATGTAACCATGAAGTGGTTGTTCCTTTAATCTGAGCTATCAGAAAAACCCTGACGTTTGGCACAGTGACCCAGATTTATCGCAGGTGAGGGAGGCACCCAGGTAGGTGCCTGCCTGGCATTGGCTGCCGGAGGGTCAGCAGTGAAGGAGCAGCACCTTCAGAGGGTGATTAAGTCCAATTAGCACCCCGAGATCCCCCCCTCCACTGCACAGGGAAGGGAGCAAAGGCCAGCTTCTTGCCTTGGTTAATCATCCCAGGTCAGTGACACGTATTGGGGTCATTTCGCTTTCCCTGTCTGACAGAGTCTTCTAGCATTTTGCTGTTCTGTGCTCCATGGCTGTAGTGAGATTTATGGATAATATTTCAAGTGGAATATTGCTCTGAAATAGCAAATTATTTTTCTTATGCTGGAGGGTGTATATTTCATTTAAGCAAAGAGGTACAACAATTTTCCAAAAGGTATTTGCTCCTCTAATAGCAGTTAAGTCTTGCTTAAGATGTGTCTGATTTGGTTACAGACTGACAAAATGTAGCTCTTCCTTGAGCTGTTAGAATTCAAACAACCTCTTTGTCATGTTTCTAATGCTAAAATTTAGAACTCTGGCAACTTAGAAACATTGTTTCCCTAGGTGAAATGAAGGGGTAACGTTATTCTTTTTTTTATAACCTTTTCTATCTCTGAATTGCTGCATTTTAAGCAGCAGCTCATCTCAACAAAGATTAAGCACAAGGAATACCACTTGAGGTGGCATTTTTTTTTGCCAGTTCTGTTAAAGTTTCTAAGGTTGTAGCTTTGTAATGACTTCTTCTGGCAGGGAGGTTGGTTTTAACCATCGCTGGCCCTGGCCACTTGTTCCTTACCTTGTGGAAGCCCTTCTGCTGCACCAGTGCAGCTGTTTGTGCAGCTGCAGGGTCAGAACCGGTCTGGGGTACAAATAAACTAGGGGGAAAAAAATTAAGAAAAGGGATGTTTATGCCTTGAATTGGGCAAAGGACATGAGCATCACATACCTGTAGAGTTGCAGAGCCCGGATAAAAGCGAGGGGAGCATGGTCAGAGGCTGGTGGTAGGCAAGTTATATAGGGGAGGGAAATGGATGTAAACCTTCCATCTGAGAGGAGTAAAATAGTTGCAATAGTTTTCCCTTAGTGGATCTGTTAGCTAGGATAATGGATACACAGGTGTCAGAAAGCTGCCTGAAGGAAGCACATGCAGGTTATGCTTCAGCAAAACTGAATTCAACGCCACAGGAGCTTTCTTTTTTATTTTTTTCTTGAACAGCTCATTTTTAAAAGCCTGGTAGGGAAGCAGGACTTGAAGCAGGAGTCAGATTTAATCACCGAAAACCTAACGTATTCATTCCTTCCATCAGTCCTAGTGCACCTTTCTTTTTGAATCCTTAAAAATCTGAAGTCTGTTGGAGGAGGACCTTAGATCTTCCTAGCTGGGTGCCGCTCGGAACAGGACGTCCAGGACTATTTGTTTTAATCACCATGCTTTTATCACTGCAGAGCTACGAGGTGCAGGGCGTGCTGGGAAAGGAGGTGGGGTTATTGAACTGCTACGTCCACGCCGTCACCAGCCACCCCGACGGCGTCGTGCTGGAGGAGATCCTGCTCCTGGAAACAGCAGAGGGCACCGAGCTGAACCCTGGTCAGCTGCTGTAGTATCTGTGGACTTTGAGATGTGGTTATCAGTTAACCAGTGCCACAGATAACACGCAGTGGCACTGTGATAAGTGTTAAGAGAGTTTATTAAAATTGTGATTTACAAAGCACATTGAGCTGAAAAAAAATCTATACCAAAAAAATAAAATCTGTTCAGCTTTCTGAACTCCTCTTTTTCAGATCAGTTCAGAATTTAATACAGTTCTTCAGCATGTTTGCTGTTTCTGTATGTAAAACATCTTGTTCTGAAGTTTTGAACGGTTGTGATTTCTTTTTTTACAATACCATATTTATTATGTGCAAATGGAAAATATTTTACTGATATTTTTGGAGTCAATACCTTGCTGTGGGCAGTGAACATTGGCCTGAGCTGAGTTTTATCAGTGTATTCCAGACGTTCACTGGCTGCAAACCACTGCGTTGTGAGCAAATCCTGAGCTGCAATGTTTGTTATCACCTTGCAATAAATATTTTGAAGACAGAGAGTTGAACAAAGCTTATATTTTGAAGTGTCGAGCATATATAAAGTTAATGTTTTACAGGTAGCTGGTCTCTGAGCGTAGCAGTGCCGTGTTATCTGCAGCTCCCCACGAAGCGGGTGTTTCATTGTACAGTTTCTATTACAGGTAAGGAGCAGAGTGCTGTGCAGGCCAGGGAACTATCCTCTGGGCTGTGTGAGACAGGGAGTACAGAGCAGATACGTAATACCCAAATCTTCCTGCGTGTGTGTTGTCCGAGATGCATGCAACAGCTCAGTCAGAGAGATTTTTTTTCCCCCTTCCCCTTTCACAGCGTTTAAGAAACCCGTTTGGGTCAGAGAGGAGGAACAAATGGTTTTGCACAGGTCCCTCTGTGTGATCACCCAGCAGAAAAGGAACAGCAAACTCGTTGCTGCAGCTTGTTCTGGGGCCGAGGCCGGCAGCGGAAAGTCTCATATGCGTCACAGTTCCTAAAGGGATGAGCCAGCTCTTGAGCCCCCTTCTCCCCCTCCTCAGAGTGTTTCAGTCTCTTACCTGCCTCCCTGTGAAGAAGAGGGGGATGTGAGGATACTGCCCATACCTGAGCAGCCCTGACACCAGGAAGATTTCTCTCTCCCTGGGAAAGCACTGGCTGCTGGAGGTGCTCATTGGATCTGCCAGTGCCCTACAGGTGCTGCCATCTTTATGAATGCACCCAAAAGGCAGACACCCTTCAGAACACGTTCTCTCAGCCAGAGAAAAGGCAGACGAGCAGCCTAACCCTTCAGAATATTCTCTCAGCCATAGGCTGGCATTGCTGCCTGCTGTCTTTCGCTAGCTGGGACCAGTGAAAGTGTCCAGCTGGTGCTGGAGCAGCATCTCCTGTGGGACCACATTGGGGCCAAGCCTGGGCACGTGTTGGTGGAGGGGTAGCTTTGGACTGCCTGGAGTGGAAACCACTTTGAGGGGGTTTTAACAGGAATTTTAACTAACGGTGTGTGCCTGTTCATGTGTTCTGGTCTTTTTTTTTTGGTAATGTTTCTGAGAGTCCTGGCCAAAGAGCAGCCCCTCCTGCAGCACAACTGGTGCTGGGCCCCAAGAGTACCTCAGTGGCCACCACCGGCCGGGGTGCTGCCAGCTGGGCAGGCTGCTGGGCTCTCTTATCTGGACCGGGCTTTTCCCAGGCCATTCTTCAGGTCCCTTCCCAGCTGGGATTCTGCATTTCTAAGACCCGACTCTGCAGCCCAGCAGCGATGCAGCTCCTGGGAGAAGCAGAATTCGTAACGACCATGTGCAAGAGTCCCAGTTATTCCCAGCACGGCATCACCCTTCGGCCTCTCTAGAGAAGCAGACACCGCACCTCGCCCCTCCTTCTCCTCAGCCCCCTTCTCCTC